ATATATATATATATATATATATATATATATATATATGTAAACACATAAAAGTATATACGTATGTAAACGTGATTTTGCGTGCTAAGACGCGGTATTAATGCCTCTGTGCGCGTACATCTCTGCTTTTCTTTCTCCGAAGCCGAAGCTTACGGGAACTTTCACGATTGAGCGCGCTGGCCTCGCTTTAATCAGGTCTCATTTACTCGGCATTGGGCGATTGAGTTACACGCCCATATTGAATGGAAGGGGCCGGGGATGCGTTTGCTACTGAATTGACAGGGCCGAGCGACGGACTTCTTAAATCGTATATCGCGCTCCAAGAGTGAGCGAGACGTTTAATTTTGGTTACTTTACGTTCCAGCTGTCGCCTCGCAATTCATTCGTAGAGGAAGAATCTACCCTTAATCTACGTCATAATTCTAATATGTACGGGCGCCGTTACGTTAGCATTTCTTTCTTCTATTGTTTATCGCGGATGGAGGAAAAAGTTACGGCATTGCCTCCCCGATATTGCAAGAAATTCTGTCGAATCAATATAAATAGGAAATCTCAGCGAGGTTTACGAGGAACGAGCTACCGTTTCATTTTTACAGTTAAGCGTTCTTGGTCTACTTAAAAAATGAAGTTAAAAAGAATTTTTTAATAATACACAATTAATGGAGTATAAAGTATAATGTTTTTGCAACTGCTCCCCCATTATCTTAATTTTCTCCCCCATTCTTTTTCTTTGTTGTTTATTTTATGTTGTTATTTTTTGTTTATTTAACCTTTTAATCCCCTTTTCGAACATGTATCGCCGTTTCTTTTTGATAAAGTAAATTATTATTATGAAAATAATGATCCATTCTACGAACGATTAATTTTTCTAGTAGAGAGAGAGAGAGAGAGAGAGAGAGAGAGAGAGGTGGATAAGTAGTTAAAACCTCGAGTTAAAATTAAAGAGTCCTGGCCAGAGAGGTAGGGGCGGGGGTGGGAAGTTGAGATAAGAATAAGAGAGACGGAGCGCGCGGCGAGGTGGATTGACGGAGATGGCCTGCGTGGCCTGGCGTCGTCATTTTTCGAGGCTTCGAGCACGTCAGACTGAAACGGGGGAAACTACGTCGCTCGCGTACAAACAGCCAAGCAGCAGCCGCTCGCCAGTCCCTAGCCGAGGAAGGATCTCCCGTTTGAACGGCCAAAGATAATGCAGCCGCCATCTATTGGGTGACGGGAAAACTACCTATGGCGCGTAAGCTATTCCGTTATGCTCTCGTTTCTATTTTCATCTCTCGATGTCGTCGTGCGGGACTTGTCGAATAGCTTCTTATTGATTATTATCGTCGGGCTAATTCGGCTCCAGCGAGACTGGGAACAATGCGAGAAACCTGACGCTTGTCGCGAATAATGCCAATGACAGAGGCAGGATGGCGATGGCGTAATAATCCTCTTTAGTCTAAGAATCATCGTCTACTGCTCCGAGGTACGCGCGCGCTTGACTGCTACAGAGCGGCAAATATTTTGTCTTTGTTCGCCACTCGCTCGACCGAGGCAGGCACAAACGCGTCACTTTGTTAATTCGTAATGCAGAGCGATCGGTTTCAAGTATTGGCCTTAAAAAAATTGCTCGCTTGGATATGTGACGCGTCGGTGTTGACGTCAAACTTGCATTCTACGATTATACGAATCGCACATCAGTGATCATTTCGTTTCAATCCCATTGTGTGCTAATTCTAACATTTTTTTTTTTTTTTTACATGCGCTATTAATGTCCGCACCGCGAAGGCAAATATTTTTTACTTTTGTATATACATACATAGATATATATTTATTATTTTTATTCATCTAGTTTATTTAATTATTTATTTATGTACAATTTTCGTCTATTGCAAACGGATTGTACCCGCAGAAGTCTGAGTATTGTCAAAACGTCTACGCGGAGCTTGTGTCAAAGGGTAAATTTAGTAGATCAAAGAGAATGATAGGAAAAGTAGGAGAAAACGCGTGGGACTGGGGGGGGGGTGAAAGAGAAAGAGAGAGAGATAGAGAGAGAGAGAGAGAGAGAGAGAGAATGTGAAAGAGATGAATGTGTTGGAATGGATCAGCTGATCGGAGGCGTGCGCCAGAGTTTACGAGTTACGGCTGCCAATAAACCCGCCGCCGTTCCTTGTTGTTCATGTAACGTTCCACCAACTCCCTAAGGCTTCTCTATTATGAAGATTTTTGCTCTTACTCTCACAAGTACTCTCTCTCTCTCTCTCTCTCTCTCTCTCTCTCTTTCTCTTCCACTATCAATCTATCTATCTAACTTCTAGAGTCCTCTCTATTTCTCCAAATAGAAAGCGAGAGAGTGAGTGAGTGAGTGAGTGAGTGAGTGAGTGAGAGAGAGAGAGAGAGAGACAGACAGACAGACAGACAGAGAGAAAGAATGTTTGCATGCGTGTAAGCAAAGAAAACAAATTTGTATAGTTTTAGGAAAGTGTACGCGTGCCCAAACGGGTGGACACCTTTCTATTTTCATTGGTTGCTCTCGGTAGGTCAAATGCATGAATGATGACTTGATTTTTTACTGCGACAATTATCCGTACGCGAATTTTACAGTACGATTCATGTGGCCGTATTACGGGCCACAAAATTTTTTTAATGCTCTCCCCACTCTCCACCTCCCCCATTACTGCCGCTACGACCACCACACCGCCTCAACCATCACCATCACCACCACCACCACCGCTACCACCATCACCACCATCACCATCCATCACCATCAACACAATGGCTCATATATGTTCTTTCGGTTTTTATTGATAGTTTCGCTCGACGCACGGACGTTTCGATCAAAACAGGACATTTTATCGTTTCAATGTCGGCGGACCATTTGGAGGCCGTTAAAGACATTTTGCGTGCTTTTTTTGCACCGGCAAACACCTCGTTCCCACCTGATGCGCCGCATGCGTACGACGCGTCGGCACTAATAGCAGCGCAGTGTCGGCGTCGGAAGCGCATTTTGTCTCTCCCCTCGTCCTCTCGCCCTCCTCCGTCGACCCTCGTCCCGCATCGCGGCACGTGGACTCGGGTTATTCCGTCACTTAGCGTTTTACGCTCTTGCGTAATCGCCGGACGACGATGTCACGCGGCGCGAGTCGCCGATACACGCGCGCGCAGGAAGCAAAATGTTGAATTCGAGCGTTGGTCTCGTAATCTGGGAAACGGCTGACACTGCTACTTTAAGCGATTTACTTCGAGCGAGTGCGAAAGTGCATCACTCCACGTGTCCAGAGCGTAGGAGCAAAGTAGCGCGAGCGGCGATCATCTCTCCGACCCTGACCCTAATGGTCGTGTGAGCAAGAGCGAGAGCGAGCAGCAGAGGACGGCTTCCCGCAATCGATATTCGCATTACCGCTGACTCGCGAAATTCGCATAAGCAAATGAACGAGCGATGAGTGCGCTAGCATGTACGCGCAAGTGCGTTATTAAAATTAAGCGAGCGAGTAAAGACGAGGTACGATATGCAAGCACGTCCATGGAACCGAGAATAAATTGTTCAATAAGACAAAGAGAGGAATAATAAGCTAATATGGTACGTAGAGACTTTAGATGAGTGGGGGGTCGGGGGGTCGGTGGTGGGGGGAGTGAGGAGGGCCGTTTGTTAAACGTAATTAGGAAGATTGACGAGCGTAAATTGAGTGCTAGCCACCCCACGGCCGCAGTCGCAGTCGCCGTCACCGCCGCCGCCGCCGCTGCCGCCGCCGCCGCAGCCGCAGCCGCAGCCGCCACCGCCGCTACTGTTGCCGCTGTTACTGTTGCTGCCGCTGCTGCCACGTTGCGTTCGAGACATAGATGATAAGATAAGGGCGAAAGAGGAGGCGAGGCGCAGCCTCGGAGTCGATGCTTACCTGGAGGTGGATAGGGACTGGAGGTGACGGGCTCGGGTGCCCCGTAGTTCCTGAGGCCGCCGTATCCGTCGTGTGGGAAGGCCGCCTCGGCGACCATGGCCGCGGCCACGCGTCCCCGATCGTCGGCCCCCGAGGGCGTTAAGTACGAGACGCTTGCCTGAGAGTGGGCGTGATGGTGGGCCGCAGCCGCCGCGGCGCTGTCTACCGCGTGGTGGTGCCTCCTCTGTGAGAAGCTCTGGTGGCAGCTGACGGCCGGGTCGGCTCCGCCGCCGGCCCCTGACGAGCCCGTGGACGACGTCGTGGTGGCGATGCCCCCGCTGCCGGTGCCCGCCGAGTTGTAGGACTTGTAGTCCGAGTTCGAGCCCGCGGCGCCGGTCGTCGTCGACGCCGCTGGGGACCAGAAGCTCAGCGTCGAGCTCTTGCGCTGGTCCCTTGAGGAAGAGCCGCCGCCCGGGGCGCCGCTGCTCGGATCGGTCGCCAGGTTGGTGTAATAGGTCGGGGGATTAGTGCCCCCGTAGGCCGCCTGATGATGGCCCAAAGAGTCTTGGGGCGCGGCGCTGGAGTAGTGGCTCTCCTGGGGCTGGTGCGGACTGTAGCTTGCCCAGCCGCCGGCGCCCTGGGTGTTGGAGCCGCCCGAATGCGAGTGCCTTATGACGCCGCCGGCCCCGCTGCCCGGTACACCGTTGGGCTCGCCGCCGACGCAGCCGACGTCGCCGTAGCTCGAGGCCGAGGTGGTCTGGCCCACGGGGGTAGCGGTGAGCCGCTTGGCCGGTATGTGAAGCGGACCCGTAGCGCTGTTGCTGGCGACCGAGGAGGCGCTCGGTGAGGTCGAGGAAGCGCTCGCCGTAGGTGCTGGCTGCTGGGAGGTCGCCGCTGACGAGGGCGCACCTGGGGACGTGGGCGTCGAGGCCTGCTGATGGGAACCGCTTGTCGGAGCCTGCTGTTGCTGCTGTTGCTGTTGCTGTTGCTGTTGCTGCTGTTGCTGTTGCTGTTGCTGCTGTTGTTGCTGCTGTTGCTGTTGTTGCTGCTGCTGGAGGGAGACGAGGGAGGAAGTAGGTGCTACGGGTGGCGGACTGTCCTCGTAGGGGACACTGCTCATCATGTTCCACCAGGTCAACCCGGTGGAATTCCCCGCTCCGGTGACTGTCCCCATCGGCGTGACGGAGGCAGGGTGAGCCACGCCGGAGCCGCATAGCGGCACGGCGTGCACATTGTCGTACAGCGTCGCCGTTGAGCAAGCCACGTGTTCGGCGATGGTGCAAATCGCGATCGTTTGCCGACGATTTTAATATCGTCGTAGCGCCGATTTTACGCCCGTGGTTGGCGCGACGATCAGTGGTGGGAGGGACGGCGATTACGGTCACGAGGATGGTGGTAGTTGACGCGGATGATCGTGTCCGCAGCGTTAAATTAACCAAATAGTCGCGAATACAATTTTAAGGAGGTGAAGAAATGTCGATGGTTGTTGTGATTCGAGGGATGGGGCAGGAGTTGTGGAGTAGAGGGTTGGGGCAGCACGAGGCTCACCGATGGCCGAGCGTCATCGTCGTGGTCGTAGTCGTCGTCGTCGTCGTCGTCGTCGTCGTCGTCGTCGTCGTCGTCGTCGTGGTCGTCGTCGTCGTCGTCGTGGTAGTCGTCGACGTCGTCGTCGTTGTCGTCGTCGTCGTCGCCAGAACGGACGCGATCGACGTGGTAAACGAGTACGAGATCGGGAGGTAAATAAAGAGAACGCGTGCACGCCGCGATTCCGAGTGGTGGGGGAAAAATGTCAGTCGGATCGAGAGAGCGAACGGGCGTGCGTGAGACGGTGCGAGCGCGTGTGGTAGATGGAGTAAGAGAGCCAGCGATGAATCGTCAGGCGTGTGGAGGGGGGAGATGTTAAGGGTACAGAGTAGGGGATGGAGCGTGACGGGGATAGCGAGTTGGTGGAAGGGGCAGGAGCGGCGGGAGTCGGTATGCCGTCAGGCGACGTGCCGGGGATGGCGAGTTGGGGGAAGGGGCAGGAGCGGCGGGAGTCGGTATGCCGTCAGGCGAGATAACACGGAAGCCGCGCGCGGACAGCGTTGATAACGGTGACGGATGCAGCGGGTTGATGGGCCGAGTCGTCGTCGATAGCGTAGAGATGTCGCCGAGTAGCCGCACAGGTAGAAATACGTCGTAATCGGCGGCGTCGTCGTCGTCGTCGTCGTCGTCGTCGACGTCGTCGTCGTTGTTGTTTTGCACATACGCACACGCGGTCCAGATGCAAGCGCCAGGGTTTTGGTCAAAGTCACGTGTATCCCGTAAAAGCGCGCCAAATCAGCGCAGTCCAAGTTGCAGATATTTTAATATTATTATTATTGTTTTTTCGTTTATTGGATTGGCGGTGGTCGTTTGCGATGATTCAAGAGTTGATTAGTCCCAGATGCATGATGTGTTGTAGGTCCATTGGATGGGACGTAGGTTAATACGTAACAGAATGAAAACAGAAAAACAGAAAACTCACTTTAGCTATCTCGGTATGTTTGTAACATCAACAGCACCAGCTGTCACGAATACGTAAAATCGTCACCGAGTCTCCTTATGATTTCAGCATTTAAATACCCGCGAGCGAAGGAAAAAAAACTCGAGCCACGCTATTCCAAATGCATTTCACTGACTCAAAGCCCAAACAGTTCGGAATTGCACCTAGCCTGAAGTATGTGCTATATACATCTACACACGTGCATATGTAGGTACGCACGTACGTATTCATCTACGTAAATATATATATACATGCATATACACATATATGTGTACGTATATATATATATATATATATGCGCGCGCGCGCGCGCGTGTGTGTGCGTATGTATTAATATATATATATATATATATATATATATATATATATATATATATATATATATATATATATATATATATATATA